GGGCCTGGCCCAGCTTCCCCTCTGTGCCAGGGGGCCATGACCCGAGCCCGGCTGCTGATGGCCTGAGCACAAGCCTGGGAGCCAGGGCCCCCCTTCCCTGCTGTGCCTCAGGTGAATCATGCCTCAGTTTCCCCATCTGTAAAACAGGGATGCTCTGGGTTCTATTATTAGTTACTGCTTTCCCCACATCCCACTGGGGCTCCCACAGGCGCTTTCCCCTGTGGACCAGGAGAGAGGCATTTGTTGTCTTCACACATTTCCCTCCTGGCTGGGTTTGTGCCCGATTCCACAACTGCTTCGTTTGCGACACTTTATTATTAATCGTCTGTCGTGCGGCACCTCCGAGGCTCCATCATGCTGGGCGCTGCAGGCAAAGGTGAGCCAGCCACTGCCCCTAGGAGCTCACCCTCCACCTGGACAGACAGACTGCGGGGTAGTGGCCCAGAGGGGGAAATGGTCACCCAGCAGGTCAGTGGCAGAACCAGAACCCAGGTGTCCTGAGGCCCAGACCAGTTCCCTATCCACCAGCTCAGGCCGCCTCTTTCCCCCACTCCCTTGTCACAGGCTGCAACTCCCGGCTTCAAAAACTAAAACCAAGGGAATAAACCCCTTTGCTGCTTAAGGACCTAAGGACCAGCGATGGCTCCCTGGAATGCCAGGCACCGGAACTGGGAGAAGTAAACTTCAGCACTTTACTCCTCCGCTGCCCGGTTACGACACCTCCTTACAACAGGAAGGCTTCCTGGACCCGGGCCAGCGCTGGATTGGCAACTGCCATGGCACAACCCTGGGGAGTGGCTGGCAGCTGAGGAGGACAATGTGATTTCCCAGCACCCCAAAGTGTGCTGGGCCTGTTCTGCAGGGGGGGGGGCTGCCCCACATTGCTCCCACAGTTCCCTGGCTGGGCTGCCCAGCCCGAGAGACTGCAAAGGGGCCTGGTTTTGTGCCGCGCTGGATGCCCGAGTCTGGGGCATGGCCGGGGCTCAGAGCCCTGAAAACCAGGCAGAGCAGATGCTGCATCCCTCTCCCCCAGTCTAAGTGAGGGAGTGGGGTGGCTGACTCCGCAGCGTCAGGCACAGTTAATCTGCGACGCTCTTCCTTCCGAATGCACCTGCCAGGCCTCTCGGACCCAGTGCCCAGCTCCGCCACCCTATGAGTCCCTGCCTTTCTCCCAGCCTCAGTTTCCCGCTCTGTGCCGCGGGTGGCCAGGAGACTGCGTTGGCCGAGACGTACCCTCCTGCTGGTGCCATGGCCAGCGATTCAGAGCCATGGCCACCTCTTCCTCCAGAAGCTGCGAGACACAGCTCTGCCCCCAGCCCTCGGAGCCCCCAGCCCATGAGCAAAGCAGGACGATGCCACCTCCGGCGTGGGGGGGGGAGGTGCTGGCAGGAGCCCCCACCAGGAAGGGGGAGGCAGCTGGTGAAACAACAAGAAAGACCAAAAAAGCCTCTATTAATTATTCATCTGAAGAAGTGAAGTGAAGAAAATAGACCACGTGCAAGAGGCTCCCAATGGCCGTGGGGGGAGGGGGCAGGAGGAAGGCAAAGGGATGGGAGTGGGGAGCATGGGGCAGGGAGAGGGCACAGAGAGGAGGGAAGGGGTGAGGCTGTCTGGGCTGCCCCAGCTGGGCCAGGCCCCCAGGGGTGCTGGACCATTCCTGCTCGCACTGGGCGGTGAGGGACGGTGCCCAGCCCAGGAGCGCCACCTAACACCACAGGGTGTGGGTCAGGGGAGGAGCATCTGCATGGCCCCCTGTAGGGGGCGCCGGCTCCCATCTGGCCCCAGGGCAGGGGGACTGGCTGGCTATGGGGGGCTGGGATGGGACATGGCACCTTTCCCGTCAGGGGTCGGGGGGACCTGGCTCCAGTCTGCCTGGAGGGTGGGGCTGCTGGCTGGCTGGGGGAGGGGGTGCAGGAGGCCGGGCTCGTGCTTCGTTGAGAGCAGTGTGACAGTGGGAAGCTCCCGATGCCACCTCTCTCCAGGGGGTACCAGGAGGGCCGGGATGGAGGGGCCCTCCCCCTGCACGCGCACTGGGAACTGGAATGCTGAGAGTACGTCTACACGGCCAAGTAAGCCCCAGGGTCGCACTCAGGCTCAAGCCTGACCCCTTCTGTCTACACACAGATCATGCTAACCCAGGCTAGACGCAGGGTCTCAGGGGCCCCGGGGGGGGGGGGGGTCTGAGCCAGAGTCAAGCTGGAACCCAGGGTTCAAGCCCTCTTGCTTTGCCATGAAGACGCAGCCCCACTGGACTCCTGCTGCAAGAGTCCCCCCCAAAGTATCCCACAATGCCACAGGCAACTTTCTTTGTCCTCTGGACAGTCGAGTTTTCTCACAAGGGGCTGGAGCAGACACATTTTGGGAGGGTGCTAGGAAGTCGGGGTGATAGGGGGCTGGATTCAGTCCCGCATAACACAGTGCAGATGCTGGTGCCCAGGGTTGGAACCCAGGGTTCAACGATTCCTAACCTGGGTTACAAATGCGCATAGATGCGGCGGGAGGGTCCCAGGACTGCCACCCGAGCACAAAGGTTGATGCCACATGCACCCCGTGAGCCCAAGGCAGCGCCCAGGACACGCATTGGAGACATCCCCTTAGTTAACAAACCCACTGGCTGCTAACTTGAGTTCTACTAATCCTGGGCTTACGCTGCATAGCAGCCGTACCCGGAGACGCTTGGGCTGACAGCGGGACCGGGGCTGGCTCCAGGAACTCTCCATCCAGGGGTCTCTGCAGGGGAGTTATTGGGGCTCACCCCCCCCCCAGGCCCTTCTGCCACCCAGCCGCAAAGCAGGCTCAGTGGGACCTGTGGTGATTGCTCCAGGATAGATGGAAACGCAGCAACGTGCAGCCCCGACAAGGCAACTCACATGCTTAAGAACATAACAGCCACCCTGGCTCAGAGCCACGGTCCAGCTAGCCCAGTGCCAGAGGCTGCAGAGGGAATGAACAGAACAGGGTTGTTATCGAGTGATCCATCCCCTGTCGTCCAGTCCCAGCGCTGGCAGTCAGGGGCTGGGAACTGTTGTGTGCGGTGTTTCCATGTAGAAACACCCCACACGTATGGCGACGCACATGCTTCCCCAAGGAAACGCCACAAACACCGAGCAACACACGCCTCCCCCTGGAACCTCCTGCACGGCGACACACATGGAAACGCCCCCACACAGCACCGCACGTGCCTCTGCACGGAGACACACAAACACGCCCGTCTGCACAGAAATCTCTCACTCTCCCGGCTCACACACACACAGATGCGCTCACACCTACACAGAGAGGCAGCCAGCAAAAGCACACCTACACCCGGAAACACACACACACACACACACACACAAGTTTGCACCCTCCACCCAGAGCAACACACAAGCCAACCGCACACCACAACACGCGCACCCCTAGGCCTGGCCAACCACACACACACACGCCGGCAGCAGGGCCTGCCCTGCCCCCTGCCCAGTACCCCCCCCATCTCCCCCCCGGCAGGTTGCAGGAGCAGATGGGCACTGCTTGGGTGAGTCCGTGCAGGTCAGGGTGGAGTGGCCAGCACCTAGTGGGGAGGGAGCCCGCCTGAGTACCCATGTGTCTGGCCGCAGCGAGAGGGGGAGGCTGTTTGTCACTTGGCGCTGAGTCACTTCCCCACGTCTGTGGCAGGCGGCTCCCGTTCCCACATGCAGGGAGGGTTTCCAGGCGCTGTCCCTGGCTCCCTCTCCCGGGCCTGTCACTGCGGGAGAGCTCCCAGTGCCAGCCCCTGGCTGGCCATGCCCTCGGGCCCTGCAGCCCCTGGGTTGGCCAGCTCTGGGGAGGAGCTGAGGCAGAGGGAAGGGGCTGCTGCCAGGGCCCCGTGGGGTTGGGGGTTTCACCATATGAGCCACAGGGCTTCCCCATCCCCGCTGGATGGTGACCTTGGATGGCCCTCTCCCCTGCCCTCCCTGCTGGGAATGCGGCTCTCTGTCCACCCCCTCTGCCAGTCAGTGATGTGAGCGAACCTCTCCCCATTCCCGTGGCAATGCTGCCCCTTGTCACTGGGCCCCTCCCCCCCCCCCCCCCCGCCAGACAGGGCAGGGCACAC